AACGCCATGTGCCTGGGCCGTCGCGCACAACTCAGCCCAGTTCTGGCCGCCTCCCAATGGCAACCCTCCACCAATACGGCCACTGTGCTTTGGGGGCATCCTCCATTTGAGTGGTGGTTCTTAAATTATTCCCTTTAAATTTGCGTTGACGTATCAAACCATTCCGTTCCGCGGTGCGAAGGGTCCTTCCGCGAGCATGTTCCTACATTAGTTTGTATAAGTGCTTCCGCGGGCCTTCCGCAGGCAAGTTGCTTCTGGAAACTGAGAAAGGTAGCTTCCGCGAGGAATTCGTGTGCACGGTTTGCTAGTTAACGTGCTTGGCGACAACTGCCGAACCGAAATCAAACTACTACGTGCAAATCAACAAGGTCTCTTCCGCGAGCTTCCTCGGAGAGAACAACCAAAAGGGGGAAAAAGAACATCCGCAAACCTTCCGCGCTACCTTCTTTGTTGATATGTCAACATCTATACATGTTTGCTTGAGCGGAAAACACGCGTTTCAACACACGTCACAGAGACCCCCCCCCTTCCCCCACGGATCAACGCTAGGCGAGGCTGGCGCCCCGGTGGCGTCCGCTGCCCCGTGGAGATCCAGCGTCGGGGGCTCCTGGCAGCCGCGTGATGCCTGCATCTTCCAACAGTCTGTGTCTTCTATAACTTTCCCTACACACACGCAAATATAACCAGTGAAACACTGGGTACAACGAATATGGGTGTGTAAAAACTGTAAACACATATAACATGATAACATATGTGAGGTCGCCCTTGCTGACCAAGACGTGGCCTTTAGCTCCTGGTTGCCTGGATATTGCAACCAAGGGAAGCAGGAAATCCTTAATCATTGCGCATACTTTTTTTGTTGTTGCGTTTTCCTGGCCACCTTAGGCAAATCGCCTGTGTCTGTGTCATTGCACATGGACTGGCGTTGAAGTTTGTGTGGTGCTGTTTGGTGAAGAAAGTGAATAACAACTGGGAAAGCACAGATTTGCAAGATCCCCTCATTTTGGCCAGCTCAGTCACTGGAGTAGGCGAAGATATGCCATAAGGAGAACGATTGCCCGAGAGGGCGGGGCCGAGAGTGAGCATTGGCAAACACATCAGCCTCAACCCCAAGCTATCAAACAAGTTGCCTTGACCGCCAAAGAAAGATAGCCAGCTTGCAAGCAGATCCATGACATCCTGGTCCATGAACTTCCGAATCAAAAGCCCCACACCTCTCCTTGCCATCTTCTAATGCCCACGTGCGCTTCTCCCAGATGCGGAGGACGCCGTCCGCTCCACCACTCGCCTCAAGGCACGTTGGGTCACAACATTTTTCTGACGCCCGCCCTCCACAACAGGAATCAGAAAGTGGTCAAAGGCCAATGAAAGGGTGAACGCAACACCCGAGGCGTCAGTCAGGTTCTGTGACCTTGGCATCTTACAATTGATCCTGGCCGCCCCGACCTTCCAAACAACGCAATTTGGCCATGGGGCACAATCTATGGCTCCACTTTGGGGTGGATGAACATCCATTTGCCACCTATTTTGATGTTCACCAGGGGGTGCAGGGTTTTGACCCACAGCCATTTCACCCGTCCCCCCAGAAAAAAAGAAATCCACGCGCCTCGCGCCGCTGGCCCTGACTTCTGGGGTCTGCGCCAGGCGTCCGTCGCTGCACTCCGCGAAGGCGGTGATGCGGGCCGTGTGACCTAGCACCGCAGACAAAATGGGTGTCCTCCTGAGATGGGACTTTCTGCTAAACGAGGCGAGACTTGAAATGGCACCCATAAACTAACATAAAGGTACGGAATACTGAGTTGGTTGACTCTGGCCATCCATCTCCGAGCTTGTGCAGGCATGTCTGTGCCGGGACTGGCTGTTCCACCGTTTGCGCCGCTCAGGACGCAGCCATACAGTGCCCACAGGACCGTAGCAGTTGCCGGGTCCAGCAGCCGCACGTCGCAACCTATGTGCAGTCAGGAGACCCCACCCGTCCAAAGGATTCCGAGATACTTGAAGCATGTTGAAGCGACGTTTTGAGTGGCTTTAGTCGGAGAGTATGTTTCTTTTATGACACGGTATGTCGGTGGGTGCACCGCGCCATTGAGGAAATAGGAAGAGGTGTCAATCGGGACCTTTGTGGCGCATCCGTGTCACGGGGACGAATGTCCGCCAACCATTTGTGAGGGGGTATTTATTCAATAAGACCTACTAGTACCCCTCGTTCCCTCGCATTCCCCTGTAAACCCACACAAACGCAGCCAACAAATCAAGCCACGACCTCTTGGCCCTTGCGCCCAGGGCGGCGGCTAGACTTGAAGCTCAGCGCCAGGATGCCGTCGTGGAGCTCAAGAACTGGGGCGGTGGGTCCCAAGGCCATGGACTGGGAAGCGTCACTGGAAATCCTTTGGACAGTGGCATGCGTTTTTTGATGTCCACCGACCGTTTTCCAGGGGGTCCAATAGACATCATAGCCAGAGGCTGGAAGCTGAACTAATGCTGTCAAGATAAGTTCACGGGCTCTGTGACAAAGGGAAAGGCAAACATCTTGAAACAATACAGGCAAGCACTCAAAAGCTCAAACTCCTGAAGGATTCCCGGCTGCGGGTTTGCGTGGCTTTGCAGCATGACGTCCCTCTTGTCTCTTTTGGTTGGGAAACGCACAACAGTTCGGGCGCCCGGGCAACCGGAAATTGGTGCCTTGGCCGTCCACTCACGGACCTGCAGCACCTGACCGGGCTGGACAAATCAATGAGAGGGGAACCAAAAGAAAAGTGCCGCAGGCAAATTCCCTTTCCAATGATTCTTATCTCTGAAAAGCTACCAACAAGTCAAAAGTTAAGAGAACGCCCTGCTTCAATGCGTCAGTCAAAGAAGGCCAGTCACCCTTGGGTGCTCGGAACCATCGACCCTGTGTGTGAGCAAAGCACATGTTCGATTGGATGGGCCAGGGGGTATCAACTCACAAATGCTCCAGCACCAACTATGTACCCCAAAATTAATAGGGGATGCCGCTAGTGGTGTTGTTCTCTGTAAATCACTTAATTATGCTGCAAACGTAGAACAAAGATTCACAGAGCTTCATGAGGAACGATATCAGCAACCATGTCTGTATTAAGTTAGGACTTAAGCGAGACATTTATCTTATTTGCACATTAGAGTTTATTCAACTTAGTCGGCACTTACATATATTTGTCTTGAAAGAAACTAAATCGATTATACTTTACTTGAACTTAAACCGCATCTTTCTCGAGATATCTAATTGTGGGGTTGCAAAGCTAGTTAACATATATAAGACCAATGTTTGGAACTGAGGACGCACACATGGCAAGGCGCAAAACCCACCGCTCGCGAGATCCTTTTCTGAAAAGAAGCACGTAAACAATGACAAAAATGCGTTTAGGAGCCAACAAAAACCATATCGTCTATCGTCCGTGCATCTCACAAATCACTCCTTTGGTCAACCTCACTACATCACCCATCATCCCCTGGACACTTGCCCCCCCCCCAACATGCCCGAAACCCCGAAACCGCGGAGTCACTGCACACCTTCTGTGCAACTCGCAAGCGATTGCCACACAGGCCAGGTTGCCACATGCATCTTACCAGGTCCTGCACCAACCTTTGAGCACATTGATGCACTTTCCATCACTTTGCTTTCGAGGGTGCCCAAACAGCCTGGCAGGTTCAAGCCATGCCATCCATGCCAAACAAAACAGCTAAGCCATACACAAGCCCCTTTGTCAAGTGAACACCAACCAAAGTTACCGACAGTCTGTGCAGTTGTCTTCACCCTTGAGTCAGGGAACAACATGCCTCTCAGCGCAAGCAGCCTTCATGGACAGCGGAAAGACCCCCAGACCTCAAGGTTCAGCGATCCAAAGCCCATGCCTGCGCAGCCTTTTCTCAGCGCATGGCATCGAATCGTCCGATTTCCGGAGGCCGAGCCATGCTTTGCGAAATACAAACGTGCACAAACCACACAAGCGTTCCAACGAGCTGCATGTCAGCTGTTTGGGCCGGATACCATCCCGAAAACCGTGGTTTGCTGTAGCGATTTGAATTGTTGTCTTGGTGCAATTGCCGTGTTGCACTTGGGACCTCACATTTCTCTGACAAAAGGGTCCCGAAGCTTCTTACAGCCGCCGGGCCCAAGCATTTGCACTGAACTTTGGCCCTACATTCAGGCCGCGCTTCGCCACTAAAACCGCTGAGAATGAGTCCTATGAATTTGAGCTTGCCCGGCGGGTCAGGAATATGTGCCGCAAGATACTGTGAAACTTTCCGCCTGGGCAAGCCCTAAAAGCGCGACCGACCGGCACAGCTAGCGCCTCAAACCCATGGAGTTTAAGTAATTAAAGAAGAAGGAGTCCAAAGAATGAAAAGCTTCCCATGGAAATAGGCCAACCTTGAGAGCTGAAACGCTCCAGGGCTTGTCTTGCCGGCAGCTTTATCTCAATGCATGACTTGCCAAAGATCGCTATAAAGGTCGCATGTATTATTGTGATTGCTTCAAGGTAGTCCGCAAACCGTGGTGTTTGTAACGCAAGAACTGGATCGGTTGTGCCGTAACAATAGGTTAATGCCCTGACCGCCATTTGAGGGCAAGTTGACAACCACGGTCATTCAGTGTTCCTCTGCGTTCTTTTGGATTCTGAGTGGCTGGTGCTCAGTCGAGCCTTATTCTAAAATTTGTTCAGCTTGTCCTGAGGTGCTTGTTCAGCAGCCTCTTTTTTGCAGTAACCTGCAGAACCAAACTAATTATTGCCATCACTCGGCCACATGTTGGCTTTAGGAAACCTGTGGCATTGCTCGAACATGGCGAAAAGGGCCCCCAGCCTCAAGAAATTCATTTGGCTGTGAGTCACAAATAGGTACCCAAAATGATCCAACATAGAACCCTGGTAAATAGAAACGTGGACTAAAATCTGCGGTCCCCTTGAGGTCTGGTGGTTTAATTTTGACCCATACCCATTTGGGGCCGCATATGTGCCGGTTCGGTGGGGCGCAGCTTCGGGTCAGCTGCGGCGGGCCAGCCGTGGTAGTGCTACCACCACCTGGCCACGGAACACCGGCGCGAAGGCGCCCGTGTAGGCTTGCAGCTGCTTCGGGCTGCTTGTGGCGGCTTGTGGGGGGTGGAAGTGATCCGCAGACCTTCACAAGGGATCCGAACTGCAAGGGCGACCGTCATGCCAAGGTCAGAGGAAGCGAAGCCTCTGGGCCCCAAGCGCGTGGCTTTGGTCGCTCGATGCCCATGGAGCGTCGGGTGTCTGGCGACATGGCGACATGGCGACGGGCTCTCGGGTCCAATGATGAATGCAACAAGTGACACGCCTTGGACAACTTGCATCCCAATCATTGAATCATGAATGCATGCTCTCATCTCGTGGGAATTTGTTCTTGACTTTGTCCATTTTTAGGGCTCTCCCTGCATCATTTTGCATGACATGCGCCCCCGCCGCCATCCCTCGGAGCGCCTGAGCCCTCAGAGCGTGCCGTGGTGGCGGGGGAATAATTGAGGCTCCCAGTCGGAAGCTTTCCAGCCTCAGGCCAGCAAGTGACGTGGAGTGTGCAGATGCCACCGAGCTATGGCAATACAAGCAGCTGGATTTTGGCCAACCAAACCCTTAGATCAATTCGTCGCCTGCGCTGCCTACATTGGGTTTAACGGTTTTACTATTCCTCTGGGGTCGCGCTTGAACAACGTCAAATCGTGATGCCTGAAAATGCCTGCAAGCCACCGCACTCAGATGCTATATTGATCCACGAGGTCGCGTCTGTCAGGGAGTCCGTCCCTCAGGCCCTGCCCCCAGACTATAAAAAGCAGCCAATCGCACAAACAAAACCCAGTCCAGCTCACCAATTCAAGGTTCCTTCGGATGTGAATCAGCTCTACAGGAAGGGTCGAGGGGGCACGTCGATACTTAACAGACTTAACAGCATTGGCTGTACGAGGCTGGGCGAACCACTGGCTGACAGCTCAAATACATATGTGTATAGCTCATATATATATATATATATGCACAATGAACTGTGTATATGATATAAGCTGGTAGGTATATATATATACATATACATATATACATCTCTATATGTTTATGTGTATGTTCGCTTTACAGCGTTGTGCAGCCTCTCGAGGGGTATCGTTTGGTGCCTGGATGTGAATTTCTTTTTTGGGCCCTATCGTCTTATACAGTTTTTGTGCACTGCTGCCAAACGTGGGGGAGACTTTGATTCAGACCGTTATGATTTCGGAAATCAACAGCGCAGCTTATACACACTCTTGTAGACGTGAAAATGTTTATAAATGTATACATATGTACAATAACAATACATATATATATATATACATTGTGCGTATAAAGGCGAACAACAAAGGTCATCGAGTCACCAATTAACCGTCCGGTTTTGAACGCCGCTCTCAGCGCCAGGCAGCTGCGAGCTGCAAGGATCGCTCAACGCTGGCCAGCTTAGCACCCACCTTGCCGGGCTCATGTGGCATGGTTGAAGTATTCAGCTACGGCGCCCACAAATATCTATACGGATTTTGAACTGGTCAAATAAAATACTACCCCCGACGCCTTCCGCTCCGGCCCGCCCTCCACTTATGTATTTGTAGGCACCGTAGGGGAGCTCCCACGAAAAGTCGCCACAGGACTTCATCAAGGCCGTCCCCCCTCTGGCAACTTGCTCCCAGGTGGAAGGCAGGTCCCACCTCTTGGATCGTTGGCCAATGAGCACCCTGCACGCTGTTTAAAGAAACAAATTATATGGATGTCGCAAGCTTCCATGGTCTTTGCTTGACCTGTTGGTGGACATCATTTCTGGATCTATTTATTTACTTCCGCCCACTAGTCCAGGTGTCGCCCAATTCACAGCCTAGCCAAGCAAGCCAAAACGCTCAGCGCACCTCTGCGAGCGAGGCTTCGGTGGAGCGGTTGGCCGCGTCCAGCAGGCCCAAGGACTGCTCGGCGGTCTGAAGGTGGCCAGCCACCCTTAGCGGCTGGGGCGTCGGAACGGGTGAGACGCGGAGGTTGAATAGATATGACCATGGGTCAAAACCCAAATCGTACCCCCAGGTGAACATCCCAATCCGCACAACAATAATTAGGTTCTAAAATGGGTGGTGCACCTATCCATAAATGGTACCATTGGTTTTGAACCATGGCCATATGTTTTCCGACTGGTTCAATCGCCAAAAGAATTGCAGAATAATAAGGAGAAAGAACCCTTCTTTTGGATGGTTGCATTCACGAACATGCTGAGAAAAGAATCGGACATGTGTAGCTTGGCACCCTGCCTGGCGCCGTTGACAAGCACACCAGGACAGAACACAAAAAAACAATAAAGATAAGCCCGCCTTGCGTGTGTTTGGTTGGAGCCTCTCACCATTGCCCTTCCCGGCAAGTAACAGGCTCCCATTCAACGCATCCAAATGGGGAACTTTGCCCTATACAAACGAAATGCTAACCGAATCTTTCTTTCTATTGACCAGGCATGGAAAACTCGAGGATTTGATCAACCGAGTGACGCCGTTTTTGATTCTGTCAAAATGACACCGCCGGGGTCCACCAACGAGCCGAGTGCTAAACGCCCCCCTGGGGAAGGAGCTGCTTGCAAGCGCCGTGCACCACACTCATCCGCGCCTCCTGGCGGAAGCAATGAACCCCAGTGGAGTGGAAAGGGCTCCCCTTGGATTCCTTGAGTCCAACTGTATGGCTCACAAAGGCTGGAGTCTAGCCCCAAGGGCCCTATGTGGCGAGATCAGGTGGCAGAAACGCACACGCCCCCTGTGCAGCCAAACAAGTTGGCCCTTGTCCCCCAGCCCCGCTCCAATGCCGGCGCCAGCGGCGCAACCTGGGATAGGCCAGCCAAAGATCATGTCCAAGCAACAAGCAAGAGCTGCTCTCTCTGAGACCGCCTGCTAGCATCACGCTAGCGGTTGGCAACCTCCAACAAGAACAGGACCAGTGTAAGACTGCGGGGATGCCCAACACACCTGTAGATACAGCTCTGACTCTTGCGAAAGTCTGACGGGCACTTGATAATTCTTGCAATCTTCGAAAAAGTTGATGGACTATGACTAAGGGATCCACAAGCAACGAAATCAAGACCGATGACCAGCCTGTCCACATGCGCAAACAACCAGAGCTAGCATCCAAAAACAGACTGAAGTGTGCATGTCTAGCACATCAGCGTGGCAATCCCGACACTATGCATGGTCAGGACTGGACTCTTTTCTCTGAGGCGGCCCTAAGAAAAGCAAGCAGGTGATTGCGGGTTCCTACTTTTCGCCAGTGTAAAAACAAAATCAAAGAGCACATGTGTATGCATATCAAAACAGGTTGCTAGCTAAATGCATACATATATATATATACATACATACATACATACATACACACATACATAGAGACAGACAGACAGACAGACAGACAGACAGACAGACAGACAGACAGACAGACAGACAGACAGACAGACAGACAGACAGACAGACAGACAGAGACACAGACAGACAGACAGACAGACAGACAGACAGACAGACAGACAGACACAGACAGACAGACAGACAGACAGACAGACAGACAGACAGACAGACAGACAGACAGACAGACAGACAGACATACACACATACACACACATACATACATACATACATACATTCACACGCACATACACACATACAAACTAGCGTGCGTATATAGATAAAACAATTACACATGTGCAGTTCAAGGCATGTAAGAACTTAGGTCTTTTAGGGTGGGTTAGAAGGGAACACATTTAAGGGAAAACCGGGGCCTTGTTTGGGGGGCCCAAGTTTAAGACAACCACATCGATTTTTGGGGACGCTTTTGGGATGGTCAAGAAACGGACGCCGAATGCCTGACACTTGATACTTGATACCATACTCCCTGCGCGCGCAGGAGATTCCTTCGTCCCCACAACATTCTGGAAACCCATCTCTCAAAATGCAACCCTCGCAATGGACCAGTGTGTTTTTGTGGTAATTGGGGCTCGCGCCGCCCATGTCATTGGAATTTTAGATGTTGTCTCCTTGGCTTCTCCAAGCCAGCATCCTGGTTCTCCTGTTCCTCCTTTGGGTATGTGTCCATTTGGGGAGCCCAACAAAATATGGTCGTGTTCCTTGTGGGTTCCCTTGATACCAATGTGAAAAGGGTACTTCACCCAAGCCCTTTCAACCCTGAGCAGTCAGCGTTTTTTCTGGCGAGGCAACTGCGTCAGACTGAGAGCGGCGGCTCCACCTGCGCGCACTTCGCGCACTTCTCAAAAAAACCCTTAGAGATGGCTTGAGCCCCGTTCCCCTCTTTTGTGGATCTGTGCATGCACAAAGAAACCCCCTCTGATTGGCGCCAGAACACAGAAACAGCTGGAGCGGGCCTGGGCTTGCGTCAAGTAAGGCTCGCATCATCGGGCGCCATTTCTTGGCATCTGCTTTGACGTACCTGGTATGATGCGCGCGCAAGCTTCAGCCGTGAGGAATTCATGAACAGAAAGCCCACTAGGATGCCCAGCACAAGCTAAATAGACCCCTCCTTCTCCCGCCTTTGGTGGACACCTAGACTCCCAGCTGGGGCCTCTTGGTTTATGGGCTTTTGACACGAGTCCGAGTGCGCCTCAAAAACTCAAAGGGCAAATCCAATTCCGAAAGGCTTCGTTGAGCACGGAATGCTTTTCACTCGTCAAACTCCACTCTGACTCCTGCGCTGGCCAACGCCGGCAAAACACAATCCCACAATGCAGCGTAGAAGTCATCAGGCTCTCTGGCATCAGTCTGGCGCAAAGCTTTCAGAGCGTCCTTGGACAGCAGCTTGGAAGGCCTGACTGCAACTGGAGACATCATCCATGACTTGGTCATGGACTCCGCCTTCTGACGGTGCCTGTGCAGCACTGCGCTCGGCCCGAGACCAGAGCGCGCCGCCGTTGTCCGGCGGGAGACAAAGAAGCGCAGCTGCCCTTTGCCTCGCTTCCGGAAGTATTCTGACAGGACCTTCAGCAAGAAAGGCCACGACTCAGGCCGACCGTCCACCCCGTAGAAGCGAAGCAGCGCTGCCTCCACCAAGGGAGCGGTCCGCAGAGGTCGTCCGACAGAGTGCTTCTTCTCCAGGTAGCGCATGATGGAAACCGCTGATTCGCAGATTGCTTCTGACGCAAAGCCCCACACGTGCAATCTGTGAAAAAGCCTCAGCACATGCCAGTAATGTCTGGCTTGCGTGTAACTCTGCTGCACGATCAGACTATGCAGATGCTCATCCCATTTGAGAACCTCTGACTTCTGGAACTTCTCCGCCGCACAGGCGGCGCTCGAAATCCGGACGGCCACATTGCGAAACACAAGGAACTGCTCCTGCAGCTCTGGCTCAGATGGCTGTGCAAACATCTCCTCTGGCGGATTCACCAAATGTCGCACAGCGCCTGGCTGAAGACCCCAAAGGTATGGTCCGAAGGCTCTGGCAAGTTCGCGCAGGGCAGTCTTCCACAGCTCGTCGTGTGTCTGCAGACCATGCAGAAGTTGTCTGGCCAGGAACAAGTACGCAGCGCAACTGGAGAGCTGGCTCCTCTGACCTGGCTTCAAAGACTGACCTTTCGCGACATAGCAGGTGTTGCCGGCAATCATGTTTTGCCATAGACGGCGGTCCGAGGCCTGGCTGCTGGCAATGACAACCTTTTGCCCAACTCGCCTTAGAGAATTGGCTTCGCCTCTCCTAGCAGGCCCGTCTGACACCTCTGGCATGGATGGAAAAGCGAAGAGCGCGCGCGAAGACCCTGCAGCAAGCTGCTGCACGCCAGGGTCTTGCGCCCACTTATCAACTTTCAGCTCCAGCTCTTGCAGCTTTTTCACCTCGCCAGAAGAGCTTGCTCCCTTCGCCTCCTCCGTGCCTGATTCGCTTGATGAGGAGTTGTCGGAGTCGGAGGAGCTGCTGTCTTCAGTCTCAGAGGAGTCTGACCCCGGGCAGTCCAACTCCGGGCCGGCATCACTCTCAGGATCCTTTTGTCTGTGCATGCCTTTATGTGTCAAGAACCATTTTGGCATATTGGCGTCTGGCCACAAGCAGCGACATCGAAAGAAATGCGCCTCTTGCTTGGCCCACTGCTTCACTCTTTCCAGCGCGGCAACGGCTGTCTTGCAAATGTAGGTGCGTGTTTCTGCCTGACAGGGGGTACACAAGATGCGCGTGTGTCAAAGCAACAGGCTCTGCATCAAGCGTAGCGCTGGCACATTTGGAGGGGGCCCGCGACAAGCAATTGGGGGCGAGAAAAGGCTGTGAGGGTGATCTTGCGAAAGATGAGGGGTGTAAAGCTCCTTCCAGCAATCCTCCCTGACCGCACAGTAAACCTAAAATGTGTGCGTCTCAGCCTTTCCCAAGCTTCAGCAAAAAAACAAAAAACAATAGGGCCGGGGGGGGGCAACTTGTGACCCTGTGTGTGTGTGTCAAAGTCCATGGGTTGGGTTGGGGCAATTCGGTCTGGCCCTACAGATCGGCCCCGGCGCCTTCGTCTTGTGCTTGGGCGGTGCTCCGGGCTCCGACAGCGGCCAACGTTCATGTGGGCGAATACCCAAGGAGACTCCTTGAACAGTCCGGTAAAACATGAGCTCAGTCAGAAGTCTGACTGACCGCGGGTATCGTCTCCACGCCAGTCTGACAACCATCCAGCCACTGAACTGCGTGATGCACTGCTGGAAGTAACGCGCGGCCCACCTGTCCGTGTTGTCTGCAATCAGGAAAGACTCCAGCCGGCTCCAAAACCACACTGCGTTCTGTAAAGCTGCAAAAGTAACTCTGTCTTCGGACATGGCGAGGAGGGCCTCCACTGCCAGAGTAAACTTCACATTGTTGGGCATGGCGCTGCTCTGACCGTGGGCAGCAACAGCTAGCAAGTTCTGACGCCTGTGCTCATAATGAAAAGAGCAGAAAATGAGCATTGGGGCGTCTAGCAGGTCACGCCCGAACTGGCGCGCCTCCTTGGCGTCCGCAGTCTTCAGGCCACAAATCTTGCTAGGGTTTTTGGCTTTCCGGCGGGTGTTTTCGATGGCCTCTGTCTGGCAGAAAATCGCGCCGCTGTGCAGAACCGGCAAGTTCTGGAAGAGGTTCTGGCAGGCAGTGGCGCTTGCGCCATTCCATGTCTACACTCACAACAATGAGAATGAAGCTATGCCCTTGCGAGTCACAGAATCATGATCCAATGATGAGTTAAACACGCAGCTGCCCTCAACATCGTGCGGACAACACGCAGCTTCTCGATTTGTCACCCCAGCAGTCCTTTGGCACTCTGGCTGACGTGTAGGTAACCATCCGGGTTGATGCAGAGACCGGAGCCAGCAACCCCACCAAGGGAAGGCCTAGCCTCTTTGAGAGTGCCTGGGCGTGCGGGCTGCTCTGTGGCTGACGCACGAAAGTGCTCAAAGTAATCTCCTCCCCCTATTAATGAATGACCCCCATTAATAATAAATGCAAATCCGGGGCCCGAGACCAGATTTCCACTCCACACAATTGATTTTCCATTGCGCCAATACTACACCAATACTAAAGTCTGGGAATCCTTATTAGGGGGCACTTTTAGCAAGCTTCCAGCCTCACTTTTCAAAAGGTGGGTTCCTCAATTCCCCAAAAGGTTGCTTCCC